TAGGATAAATGATAGGTTAGGTTAAAAATGGTTAGGGCTAATGATGGGTTAAATTAGGTTGGGTTAGATTAGGCGTGGTTTGGGCCAATGAAGAGTTAATTATTGTTAACTTAGGTAAGAGCCTAAGTGTAAATAAGTGAAAGGTAGAATTAAATTGGGTTAGGTTAGAAATGGTTTGTGCTAATCACGGGTTAAGTTAGGTTGGGTTAGGTTAGAGATAGTTAGGGCAAATAAAGGGTTAAGTATAATAAGTTAGGTTAGAAATGGTGCGTTTTAATACAGGTTAAGTAGGATAAAGCTGGCTTTGGTAAATTTAGACATGGTTATTGCGAATGGCGAGTTAAGAAAGGTTAAGTTCGGTTGGGTTAGGTTAAAAATTGTTGGAGCTAATAACGGGTTAAGTAGAGTTATGTTAGGTTGGGTAAGGTTTGAAATGGTTCAGTCGAATCCAGGTTAAGAAGGGTAAAGTGGGTAAGGTTAGTTAAGAAATGGTTAGGGCTAATGGTATGTTAAGTAGAGTAATGTTAGGTTAGAAATAGTACCTTGAACGGTTTAGGTTAGGCATAATAGAGTTAAAGTTAGGAATAGGATTAGTGCTTGGGTAGGTTAGGTAGGATTAGAGACTGATAACGTTCGGCTCTAGAGACTGACTAGAAAACATACTCTTGCATTTTAAAAACAAGTTGTTTTTCAGAATCCTATATATCTATCGAGATTATATTGCTTAAAAAAAACTTTATAAAAACATTTTAGACAAATGCTTACTTTTTGCTATCGACTTTAGTAATATGCGAGTATACCCCGTATACTATATTTGAGTTTAAAATAATGTGTAAATAGTATGCCAATTAGTTTCTTTACGTGTTACCTTCCTTTGTTCTTATATTCTTATTCTTTTATTAATTTTACTTCAAAATTTGAGAAAAGTAAACCTCGTTGAAAATGAAAGCCCCTTCATCAATATTGTCTCTAATGATTTCATATCTCAAGATGACTGTTTCTGAAGGTCATGTAGTTGCAACAGAGTAATATTATTCTGGTTGAATGAAAACTTCGAGGAAAAGGAGAAACGGCCAAAATTTGGTTGGGCCAGGTAGTAAATGTTTTTAATAAACAATGGAGCGGGGCATAACGACGGAGGTCCCCTAAGTGTTACAGCATTAATGTAACGTAATGAGTTCAGAACCTCTCCGTTCACTCACTCTCTCTCTCTCTCTCTCTCTCTCTCTCTCTCTCTCTCAACCCTTTTTGAATTATGGAGAGGGATGAAAAATGTAGTTTGTGGCGGCACACGGGACCCACCTAACTCCGTGAATCTTGCCTGGTTTATTAAAACCTGTGCGTTCGCGAACGCTATTAGGCGGAACGGGCAAATTTTACACCGGCCCAGTATGTCGAGTCTCGCCCGTAAATAACGAATACAGTTTTAGTTAATTTCAACGGAATTATTCGAAAATTTCGAAATATTTAATTTTTTATCAACTGTTTTCCTCATCTTTTTTATCACCAGGGCTCATATGTACTTTGTTGTCAAATTCTTGTTAACTTCTTTCTAAAACACCCTCCTCCCTTGAGAGCAGATATGCCATTAGTCGGGATACCATTTCTCTTATCTGATAACTGCGTTAACTTCTTTTCAAAGTCGTATCTGATATTGCCTGAGACACCAAAAGAGATAGAGGGTAGAATTTACAAAAAAAAAAGGTTTATCTGGCTTAAACGTGAGCAAGATAGCTTAACACCGACATGTCAGAACATGAATTACATTTTACAATCATGAAAATAAATTCTGAGAAATGTTAACTTTTAAACAGAACAATTTTTTTATGCTTCTAGTTTAAATGTTACAAACGTACATACACCAACAGGAAACAATTCCACCCAATTTATTTTTTTCATTTTATCGATAAAAGAAAATTCTGCATTTACTTTTTCTTATTATTTTTATCAATAAATATTTTTTATGCTATGCTTTAAATTGGGACTATCAATGAAGGTTAAAAGGCTAAACACACTTAATCCTTAATCCAAAACAAGGATAAAGGGTTTTTTCAATGTTTACTTTTTACAGAATTTAAAATGTTTATTCAGTTTCATTTGATTTCTGAAGCAATAAACTGTTTAGTTTTCATCTTGGTTTTCTTAATTTCAACTTTTAAACTTAAACATGCCACTTGGTGCTGAAGATATTGCGCGTGGTGTGGCACTTACTGATGCTAGGCGTTCCAACAGGTATGCGGCTATTGCCATCGTAGTGCCCTACGAAACACTGCGAGACTCCGTTAGACGTTTGGAGAAACTGGATCCTACCATAGAAAGCCCGGTTCTGGACGCCCTTGGTAACAGCACCACAGGATGATAGTTTTTTTCACTTCGAGAATTTTGCGAAACCGGCACTTTACTTGTTCAAGCGATTCATCAGCTCCAGAAAGTTCGAGATGACCAAATGTCTGATCGCACTGCTCGAAGAAGGTTAAATCAGTATTGACTGGTGGATTTTCGCCCCGTAGGAACACCAGAATTGACAGAATACAGAATTGCATGGTTCGCATTTGCTCGAGAACACAGCCATCGGGGGCGTCGGTGGCCGCAACGGTTTAGGTGTTGACACGGCCATCATCACTGTAAGGTAAAGGTGCCGACATACTTACAAATGGGTTTTTTTCAAAAACACTTGCACCCCGAGGGTTCATAAAAAAAAGATGAGTGTAGATTTGCTCTATGATCTGCAGACGGCGGAAACGAATGTAGAGAAGGCGAAATGAAAGGTACGAAGCTTGTAATTTTTCCCAGACCCAACCATTTAAACGTAGCTCAGTGATGGTGTGGGCGGTAATTTCAATGGAGAGTCGCACAGAGTAGGTTGGTTGTACGTGGAGGGTATTTGACGGCCACTCGCTATTTGGATGAAATTTTGGATTGAAATGATGAAGGTAGAAGTCAAGGTTGTTTCAGTCACCCGAAATAAAGACATGGCTTCATCAATTTGTTATCTTACCAGAAGGTATAAGGAAATAATATTTGACTTTTTGCTATGCAGATGTAATACGATTAGAAAATGAAATTGAAAATTGAGCATTATTTTGTATTCCTTTTCCCCATTCGCTCAAACACAAAGCTGTTTGTCGTCTAGATTTTCAATTTAAGCATTAAGTCCCAAAGGAGGCTACCAAACACGCTTGGACAGACTTTCTAAATATAAGACAAGCTCGACGTCTTCCAGGGAAATTAAATCCGTTTAAAGAAAGGCAGACGGGGTTCGCAACACACTCGCCCCTTTGAACTTCTTGAATATAACAAAAAAAAACCCTGCTTTCCTAATGTATCTCCTTAGAAGATTGAGGCGGACAGAGGCGGGGAATTCGGTTTCCGAGTGAGGATTTACTCGTTTATTTCAAATAAGAGTTTCCAAAAATGATTTTTTCCCTTGGTAATAATTTTAACAATTTTTTGTCACATTGGTATGAAATTACACTCTCTTTCCGTTTTTAAAGAAGCGCCGGCTTTTATCTACTTTCATAAGAGGTTTCCAGTTCTTATCTGGTCTAAAAGTTGGCATACTGAAATTTAGAAATATTCCAAGATTTTAATGAAATATTCAAAACTAACATATGTATGCAAAAAATTGATTTATTCGTATGAATGTGTTGATCAACGAAATATAAATGTCTTAAATATTTAGTACAGTAATAAGTCAAGTTATAAAAAATGGTTTGTCTATAAACTTTCCTGTTTTTTATTCAAATGTTTAGGTTAATTAGTATTTATTATATTGTACTCATTCATTTTTTATTATAGTTATTATTTAATAATTATTATTAAAAAAATTTTGTTAGGCGTATAATCATTGTAAATTACGATTACTTTTAAAACAGAGAAATATTGTAAAAATCTTTACTTGCTTGAATTCATCAAGTTCTATCCGTAAGTTTAAAGCGCATTTATTCAAGGCCTAAGCTAATAAGTACTACTTAAATGAATTGGTAAATAAGTAGTTTAAATTAAAGCGCCTAACATTTCACGTGCTGTTAGTAAAGTACTTTTAAGTTTAAAACAAATAATATAAAATTAAAAGAAATACATTATTATATCTTTCAATAGAAGGAAAATATACTAGTAATACATTTGCATACCATTAGTTCAAGGATGGTGTTGAACTGCAAAACCAAACTAAACATATTAGGTTCGCAGAATAAAGTCAGCCTCTGCTGGGTCCCAGGACACATGGGAGTAGAAGGCAACGAGAAAGCGGACACCCTTGCAAGAAAAGGGTCTGCCACACCGCTAATAGGACCCGAACCCTTCTGTGGAATAGGAATACATACTATTAACGAATATCTCAGACAGAAGGACAAAAAGAAAATGAGCGAACTTTGGAATTCACTTATTGGACATAGACAATCCAAGAATCTTCTAACCAACATTGGCAAACTGCGAATCCTAACAGGATTCCTGACAGGACACTGTAGATTAAATGGACATCTAAAAAAATTGGAATAATCCAAGATGGCACATGTAGATTCTGCAAAGAAGCAGAAGAGACACCAACACACTTACTAACAAACTGTGGAGCTACACTAGCCCGCAGGAGGAAGTGTTTTGGGATGTACAATGTGACCATAGAAGAACTACACTGAAACCGGGCCTATTAATCAAGTTTCTTGATGAAATAGGACTCACCGATGTGCTTTAGGCAGAGCACAGGGGATACAATAGCTCTTAAAGGGCGCAGTATACCATACCCTGAAATATTACATCTACATCTACATCTACATTTGCAAGGAAAAATGAAATTGTACATTTAAGGTTATTTTATAGGTATTAAATGAAAAAAAAGTTTTTAATTTTTTAAAGCGTGTTTACTAAATAAAATTAACAAGTATAAAGTCAACTTAAGTAGATATTACATAAAAACTACCTTCAATTATCAAACAAGTAACATTGAGAAAAATATAGTAATAAACAAGAGTGGAGAAATTGCTCAAATTTATTTAAGAATAGCCCATTATACAATAACTGTCCCCATCCCTGCGACCAAGGCCTGTTAAGTCCTGAAGAAAGTTTTGAAGAATTCGCCTGGACAAAAGATTTTGAATTTTCGTTATTATGGTGAATCAATGAATTTTATGGGACGGAAGAAAGGACACGGAATGTTTAGGTCCCTAATGGTAGTTTCGTTGGAAACATAAATGAATGAATTTTTTAAAAATTATGGATTGGAAAGTTTGAACCCGAAGGATAATGTAATCTATGGGTGAATCCCATATTTCCAGTCTGTACGTTCATATTAGCTTTACCAAGGAGTCATAGAACAGGGTTTTTTTCTGAGAAGAATTTTGAACGTTTATCAAGAAATTGTGTCATCCTGTATCGTGTCATAATTTCTTGACATTTTTGTTCGTGCGTGGATCTGACGCTCATGGAACATTGTTTGCAGTTGAGAGGGTAACATTGTTTAAGTAAATTGGAGGAAGAAAACAGCAGGATTGACACTATATATATATATATAGGAGAATGGTAAACCCAATCCCAATTCTGTTGTCGTAGATTTAGAGAAAAGGAAAGGGTGGAAGGGTGGCCGATAGCAGAGAGATAGAGACGCACATCTCGCAGAGTCGATCATTTGCCAGGATTGGCTTTTTTTCTGAATCCGTCAATACGGATATAACAAAATAATCCAAGTCTTCACATTTAATAACAACATTTATTCACTAAAATCCGCACAGGATGTATCGAAGCCGAAGCCAGACACTCCCCCACCGAAGAACTCGCATTCCATAAAAATCTTACAGAGGCAAAAAACTGACAAACCTGTTGAAGTGACAACCACTGTAAAACTTTGTAAAACTGTAAAACTCGTGACCACGATTACTCTCTTTTCGTAGCACTGGTTCTTTACCAAAACCCTCTCGCTTCGCGTTACTTGGAGGGGATTATCTAGCGTCCAAGAAAGTCACGAAATGTGTTACCTCGACCTTTACTCATCTTCATTCTAACGGTACTATATAGTTAATACTATAATCTTTACACAATTAATTATTAATTCGTTTAAAAAACAATTAGCTACACAAAGTGTTGATGTAGATAAAGAAAGTTTGCATTCTGTTAATCGTGATCGCGAAACCGGTACACGTCCGTTATGTATATATCTTGGTGTTTCACAATGGAGAGTTCGGGATACCCTCCGTCGGGAGGATTTTACCCTTACCTTTACGAGGGTGCAAAGTTTCGAACGAAATGACCACCAGCAAGGGAGAGGAAAAGTGAAATCGATGCTAAAGATGTTCATTAGGAACAAAGACATTACCAACCTGATGAAGTTGTCAACTGATAGAAAAGCACAATGCTTGAATCGAACCATAAAGAATTGAAATAAAATAAAAAGGTAGACGGATTTACTGGAAAAATTGAGCGTGCCCCCCTTTATCGACACAAGTTTTTTCAATAAAATACAAAATTTTTGGGCCTTCTAGAAGCGCAATCCAAAAAGCTGGGTGTAGCGCTGGAAGGTAATGGAATGGGGTATTTTTGCAAAGCTCCAGGGGTTTGTAGTTATAAACAGTTATCAATCCTACATTTTCAAAAATTCCAAATTTCGACAATTTTGTTTTTTCTGAATTTTTCGTGCAAAACTTTTCCGTCAATTCTGCAATGTAAATAAGATTTCTTACAGAAAATTCAACGTTCTTTCATGCTGCACAAACCTGAGTTTTGTATAATTCAATAAGTAATTCTGAAATTTACAAGCAATTTAATGGTCCTAAGTCGAAATATAGAAAAAAAAAAACAAATACCTAAAACCTTATATATATAATTAATTAACGTTTTAAGTTGAGATAAAAAAGTCAGTGTCACGAAAAATGGCAAAAAGGAGGGAAAATTCAAAAGGTGGGGTTGAAATGGGAAGTTAGTGCCCGAGGGGATCGAGGTTACGATAGCACAAGTGGNTCTCTCTCTCTCTCTCTCTCTCACTCTCTCTCTCAGTCTCACCTCTCTCTCCCTCTCTCTCTCTCTCACTCTCTCTCTCACTCTCTCTCTCTCTCTCTCAGTCTCACCTCTCTCCCTCTCTCTCTCTCTCTATCTATCTATCTATCAATCACCCATTGTAAAGTTAATCGGTTAATCGGTTTTATTTGAAAACAAGTAAGTCTGGTAACGAACAGGCTAAAATTTAACTATTCCATGAAAGTACCGAAAGACATATAAATTAAAGTTGAGCAGATTAAAATGAAATGAACAACAATTAATTTAATGAAATAATAGTTCCGTACTACTATAATCTCGAAGAATATGCAATAAACAACTGAGTCTAATTGATTTGTATTTTTTTTCTCTTCAGAAAACCTTTGACCTTAATAATGAGCACTTCTTAAAGTTCACCTCCTTTGTTTCCTAGGCAACCATGACAGGGTGGTGGTTATCTCTTACTAAGTATCTTTAAAATCCATTACTTCGCTTTCATTATCGTGGCAAATAGCAATACTGATTACTTGTTGCTCACTGACTTTTTTTCGAGCAAATTTGTTTATGTTCTCATTAAACAGGAAAAGTTTGTTAACAGATAACATTACTTCGACGATTTTCATCAGCTGCAATATACTATATCCAATTTGAAATTAAACCAAACATTTTTGTTTAAATTCATTTATTTGTATCTAGAACTGTACGTGTTAAACATGTACATGAAACAAACAATAAAAATGGAAACACAATAGAAACAATTGGTTGACAAACCTGAGAAAATATCAGACCAAAATGATCGGAAAAGGGAAACTACTGATTCTTTATTCATCAGACCCCAAGAAAAAAATTAACTTTTATTTTTACTTAATGCATTTATTTACTTAATTTTATACATGAATGTTTGTTAAACATTTAATGTGATCCAACGCCTCTTTGACAGTTTCCAAGAACCTATTTAACCTACTAATCTTAGTAATATTTGGAGGATAGGATAAGTAAGATTTAGTGTTAAAGTCAAATATTTAAACCTCGTAGTCATTCATCAGCAGCATTTTTTACTCCAACGTCCATCCACGGGAGAAGGTAGTCGTGGTGAAAAAATATCATCTCTTGGTTGCAGTAAAGTGGGGAGTTCCTCAGGGTTACATCTTCGGGCAATATTTTTTCTGTCTCTACTTTTATGATCCATACGCAATTTCCAAGCCCTATTTATTTCTTCCTATTTGTATAAAAATATACATTGAGCATGTAGTATTTTATTTATTATAAACAAATCCGACAGATCAGCTAGACCGTTTTAGTCGGTGGACGATTGAGGAAAGATGTCTTTACTCGGCTAACATCATTGATCCCGATTATATCCTAATATGGTACGTATTGTTAAAAAAATTCTATTTTCACATAAGAAATCCAATCTAAATCCAAAATAGAAATTGAAGATTTATAAGCTTGTAACATGGAGTTATTCATACGTAAATCTACGAAATGTTTGCCATTTCCCCCCTCGTTTTATCTGGTCCGGTGATTGGATAAAACTAAACAGTAAACATGATCGCAATCGTTCCGTTTTCATAACCCTCCGGTTCATTAATGGCTGAAAAAAGTGCGTTAATAATTTACAGTAGATGCTCTTTTAGAATTTTTCATGAATGACGTACGGGGTTATGCCATTTAAAATGATCCAAATAAATGAGGAAAAGTGATAAGTAAATACTCTTCATATTTTCACATAATTAATTTTCCTTTTTATCTAAGGTCTTGGTTGAAATAAAAAAGTATAATTAATTGAAATAATTAATACGGCCAATTACTGCTGAACATATATGGATTTTCATATAATTTCTAAAATGACTATTACAACATTCCATGGTTACACTCGAACAAAACATTTTTTTAGAAATAAAAGTGATGAAACACATTTCAAAATATTCTGTCTTTATTTTAAAACTGTTGAATAATATTTAACAAGTTAGTATCATGAATGATTTATATCAGTGTGGAATTTGCCATAGATGGTATAAGACAAGACGAATTACCTAAAAAGTTTTAGAACAAAGGGCAAAACAAAAAGTCAGCGATTAAAGCATGCACTTACTTAACTCCTTCCCACCAGCTTATGCTTCGGCTATTTGGTTGTTTCAAAGTTTGTAAGAAGTGAATTAGGTTTATCCTCGGAGGAGGTCGTTTCAAGTCATTTATCTTCCAAGCACTACATGTCGCCCGGTTTGGGAACAGCCAAAAACTTCGAGATCCCTTGTTGCCACGATTCTGAATCTAAACTCCTAAACTAAACTTCCGAAATACACCACTGGATTTTCTTAAAGGAATTTCATTTCATTAATAACTGCATTATTCTTCTGTCCGAATAACTAACAATAAGTGTATTTTATCAACGATTTACAAGACGTTATAATTTAATAAGAAATGTACCTCTTGATTGTAAATGAATTTGTTTCTTTTAAAATTTTCACATATTTAATTTTTCGAATAATATTTGTAAAGGATTTGTACAGAAACACATCATACTTATTAATTGCACTAAAGTTGGTGGACCGATTGATCAAATAATTTTTTTCAATTAATTAATTTTCACGTAAGGTATTGGTTGAGATAAAAAGTAAGTGTCACGAGCGGGATTCGAACCCACGACCTCCGGCTAAATACGCCTCTGCTCTACCACTAGAGCTATCGTGACTTCCATCAACCAACTTCCCATCTCAATGTACCTTTCGAATTTTCCCTCCTTTTTGCCATTTTTCAAATGTAGTATAATCTATTCGATTCTCGGCGACAAATGAAATGGCCAACGGCGAGCTTTGATGAAAATATACTTCATTTTACTTATTAAATCCATTAGAGTTCGAAGTCAGATTGACCAAATTACTTTTATCAATTCTTTATTCTTTATGTAAGGTATTTGTTGAAATAAAAAAGCCAGTGTCACGAGCGGGATTCGAACCCACGACCTTCGGCTAGATACGCCGCTACTCTACCACTTGAGCTATTGTGACTTCGATCCACTCGAACACCAACTTCCCATTATATTTTATTCAAGTTTTTATTTGGCTCTATTAATATTTATAATGGATTTGTACAGAAACTCATCATACTTA